GGCAGGGCACAACGGCCACAGCAGCAGTACTGAAGTTCACAGTGGCAGGGCACAGCGGCCACAGCAGCAGTATTGAAGTTCACAGTGGCAGGGCACAGCGACCACAGCAGCAGGCACATCACCAGATAAGACACAGCGTTGGCTACAGTAGTTGGCCGGTCAGTACCAACAGCAAGGAACATAGCAATAGTAGCGGCCGTCCACAACAACATCCTGTCCTCATCAGCAGCAAAGGCCTCAACAACGGTGGCTTTGACTCCGAAGGCAAACAACGGTCAATCAGCAGACTCCGGAGGCAAACAAATGTCTGTTCATCAGCAGCATCGGTTTTCTGGGCAGGTAGCAGCATCCCGCAAGATATGGTTCCTCATCTCTTAAAAAATGTGACCCGAAGCGGCACCAAGACACAGGCCATGCTGCAGGTTCCGCCCAAAATTGTGAACCCTCATCATAGCAGAAACGCAGGGTGTGGCACGAGGTGATCAACTGTAAGGCCCACTCGATAAAGCGCGTCCGTTCTCCCCTCCTCTATCCTTCTCTCTTTGGCAGTCTTTGCTACTGTTTCTTACTCTGATTTTTTGTTTTCATCATTATTGCATTCAATCTCACTCACTTTCCTCTGTCTATTCTACCTGTCAGTTCATGCTTACTGTTCCACCCCTCTCATCTGGTCTGAACACGACCGTCTGCTCAGACAAGGATCGTGGCCAACACGACGAAGGCAAAGAACGACTATTGTGAGAAGCAACACCCCGAGAAGGGACACAAGAATCAACATTTTCGCCGTGAGGAGCGGCCTGATCACGACGAGCAAGAGGTCATAATGACCACGAGGTAATTTACATTGACAACATGAAGACGAGTGACTCCATCCGATGGAGAGGAAAAGCACGATAATAGCACAAATGACGCACCTGCAAAAGTCCTTTTTCTTGACTCACCCTATATGCAAAAAGCAAAATTTATCTCTTGCTAGAAAGTGGAAGGATGCATGTACTCATGCTGCTTGCGTCTGCTGCTTTTTGCTGCCCCATTCTAGTATTTTAACTATGAATCTCCCGCATAAAATACGGCAAGATACATTATCATGCTGATGACAGTTAGTGCTTTCCGCCAAGCCGAATAGAACAAACCCCTTACTAGTTCCTGCGAGGTACGCCGCTCAGGTAAGTGTTTCCTCTTCTAGTTCCTGCGAGGTACGCCGCTTAGGTAAGTGTTTCCTCTCCTCTGTCTCACACTCGCTCTCTAGTGGCCCCCTTTCCTGGAGCTTCCCTCGTTTCCCTTTGTGCCCGAGTCTTCCACCGCCCGTATCTGACCGTACCCGGAGGCAAGATACATTATTAACTCGTTCTTATCAGGAAAAGGGCAATTGCAGCGAGGTATGCACCATTGTTACATCTTCGACGCCACACGGGTCCTACCGGACCCGACATAGGGTTAGAGAGACACAGTAGAGCCTAAAGGCCCGACCTTGGGGGTACTACAGGCCGTAAAGGCCTTACCTTGGACCAGACCCGACGGGCAGGCCCAAACGACATTACCGTTTGGGCCTGGCGCGCTCTTGAGGCTGCCGCCCGCCGGTTGGGGCTGAACCGTCCATCTTGACGGTTCAGGGCACGGCCAGGCCTCGCAGCATTGAGGCCGGCCTCTGCCCCGCCGGTACAAAAGTACCGGTCCAGCCTCATTGAGGCTATCGACCCACCGGCACTCTAACGGTGCGGTATGGTACGGCGCGAATCAGCGCTGGCGCTAAGTTTAGCGCAGGAGCAGCGAGGAGCAGCGCAGCGCAGCATTAGCGCAGCAGCCACGAGCGGAGCAGCAGCAGCGGCGACTGGGCGTATYGGCGGCCATAGCCGCCTGAGGTATCGGGAGTCGGAGGCTTCTCTCCTCCCTCCCATCGCCAGTCCCCTCTCTCTCTCTCCTCCTCGGCTCCCTTCTTCTTCTTCTTCTTCTTCTTCTTCTTCTTCTTCTTCTTCTTCTTCTTCAGATTGGAGACTTATACTAGTTGGACAGAGATCAGAGTTGGACTTCGGTGGTAAGAGGCTGTGGTACTTACTGGATTCGAGACTTGGAGATGATATTTGGCTGCATCACAGATTGGACACCGGCTACATTAGGACTCTGTATCTCCGACGTTGGTGACTTATTGTCCGCGACATTTTGATCTTGTTCGAGGACATTTTGGATTACCATATCGGTGACCTACTGGTTTCTATCTCGGTGACATTTGGTGCTACCTACATCTCCCACCTCCTTCGTCTCTCCGCCCACCTCTCATCTGTGTATGTGTGTACGAGGTCTGGGCATCGTCTATGCTTGGCCCAGACCCCACCATCTCACGATTGTATGTGTGTGGAGTGATATCTGTGCCAGTCAGCCTATGTGAGTCAGTCCGTTTATCAGACTTCTGCTGCATATATGCTCATCCTACATTGGTTGATCTTTGGTTCTGCCCATACTCGTTGAAGTATGTAACAATTTTGGTATCGGAGCAGACCAGTTTACGGATCTGCTCACCAGGTAAGTCTGATTTAGGAAGTAGATTGCTTCTCCAATCTTCCAAATCAGCGCTGTATTACTATCGAGTTCAAAGTTGCAAATTTTTTTTTTTCTTTTTTTTTCGGTATTCTATTTATTTCGGCATTTCCGTTTCAATTCGGTATTCGGACTTACCATTCGGATTTCTGTTTTATTTCGGTATGTTGTTTATTTAGGTTCTGATTAATTGATACTAATCCGATAATTTGTTAGGATCGGATTTCTGATGTGAAAACGTGATTAGGGTTGAATCAGTATCCGTTGAAATTCGGCATTCTGACTTTCTATTCRGCATYCCGTTTTTKATTACGGCATTCTGTTGTAAATCCTACATTTCGTTTTTCTTTTGGTATTTCCGTTTTCTTTCAGTATTGGAAAGTAGGGTTACGAAAATTTTGGTTGTTCGATCAACTGGGGAATTTCGAAAGTTTTGGAACCATAATACCGGAAATTCCGCGGAAACGCGGAAAATTAGGGTTGGGCCAAAATTTTCGCGAATTTTTTTTCTTTTCCCTTGTTGGAGAAATTCCGAAAACGGATGTAGGCCTTTAAAAATCGGATTTTGACGGTGGAAATTCCCGAAAATTTTCGTTTTTGAAAATTCGAGTGTTTTTTCTCCGGATTTTTTTCGAAATTTTTTTTGGCAACTTAATCCGAATCTGACCCTCACATTGCAACTTCCGGGTAGTTCACTAATTAACGGTGAACTCAACAGATACCTAATCTTAATAACAATTCCAATTCGTTCATTATCATTATCACAAATATTGTTTTGAATTGATTATTATTATTGCAAATATTGTGGTATTGATTACCATTAAGAATTATTCTTTCGTTATTTATCATTAATTAATGTTATTGATTAAATCATTCGTTATTACTTCTTCTTATTACGAATTTTTGGAATTGTTTACGGGAAATTATTTTTTCCTGTTTTGATTAGGTGCCTACAGTCCATCAGTGGGACAGGGGACTGTATGCGTATTGTTTGATTGTTCTACCCCTGTTCCCACTCTCCCTACCCTCCCCGTACTCTGTGACCACCAGGACCTCTCAAGTACCACACCACGATGCAGTGCCAGGCTTGCAGTTCGCACCCGCCCTGTGGTACCTCCAAGACCCAAGCCGCGACTCAGCAAGCAGAAGACTCCAGCAGCATCAAGTACAGCAATGACAGTACCAGTTGCCACCGGGGTTCTTCCCGCATGCCCGGTCCAAGGGGCCGGTGAGCCGTTGGCAACTTACCTTCAACGGGTACAGGCATTTACAGATGTCGTGGCTACCGCAAAGGCACAAGAGGAGGCAGCAGAGGCAGAACGTCAGCGGCTGGCCAATGAAGCGGCGGCCCTAGCTCAGCAGACTGCTGAGGCTGACGCCGTGGTGCGAGACAAGCGGAACGCCATTTGCATGGAGTCCTTGACTACGAATGAGAGTCAGTGGACGACACTGCTCCAGGGCATGCTGTTTGTGCCTTCGGAAACACAGGCGGATCCGACACGGACGGAGGAAGACAGGAGCAACCTGGCGAACCTGATGTTGAATATGATGCGAGCGATCATGTGGAACAACACGATGTTAATGGTGCAAATACACGAGGGCAGACAGCTGCGGCAGATTCAGCAGAATGATTTTGCAGCCTTAACAGCTGCTGTTCGCGCTACCGCCTCACATCAGCAACAACAGCGACAGCTGTTGAACACCACCACCGCACGCGTCAGCAACATCGAGGCTAAGGCCTCAGCAGCACCAGGCTGCACGACGGACGCGACGAAACAGCTCAACGAGCGCATCGATCACGTCGTCAATATCATCGGCAATATAGGCGATTTCACTAGCCCGGCCACAATCAGCAGCACGGTGGCCGCCATCAAGACGGACATCACCAAGCTGCAGACGAGACCGGACGCCGCTACGAAGACTTACAAGATGCCGCACTTCGACATCAGCAAGTTCGACGACTACAACAAGTCGGACGCCTTGACATGGTGGCAACGTTTCCTCATGGAAGCAGAAGCCTTCCTACTAGGAACAAAGGCATGAACAGGGAACAGTGTCTCGATGGTGCGCATTAATCACGGACGTGAGGGGGTTATAGCAGATACTCACCCAGCATGATGACCTCGGATCTGCGCCTCTCCATACTACTCCTCAGTTGTGCAATATGAGAAATGAATCTCCCGCTATAACCCGGGAGGATACATTGCCATGCTCCCTCGCGCAGCCTCCTCTGCTCATACCAGCCAAACGGTTGCCCCAATCGAGGAACAGGCATGCCCATCAGATCCGGAGTATGTCAAAACCCCCAGTTAGCATCCATGTTTGCTAAAAACGGTCATGATTCGGCCGAAATACGTCAATCTTTACTTTTCTTCGTCTTCTTTTCGCCTCTCCCGACTTGTCCGCGCACCTCCTTTTCCTCCTATCTCATTTTCTACTAACTTCTTACCAGATCTGACCTCTTATCTGATGTCGCCTGCCCCCAAGACCCCAGTTTAACACTTTCCCCCGCTCCGTTCTGATAGAAATTGAGTAAGTTATGATTTTCCCTCTTCCGCCTTACTCATTCTTTTCTCCGCCTCTCTTTCTTCAAGTACCTRGACCTGATCCCGGCCAGGTCCATGTATCTTCCTTCAGCTGTTCTGCTTCTCTTCTCCCTCTCTCTACCCCGCTATCTTACTACTTACTTCCCTTCTAGTCTTCTCCTCTCTTCACTCTTCGTCTCCTTTCTCACTCTCGTCTTCGTTTTCCTCCTCTCATCTGCTAATTGCCTCGTGGTCCGACAGGCCCTCAACGCAAAATGGAAAAACTCTGGCTGTCGGACCTTTCCCCCGATTTATAAGTGTCTTCCTTGTGCAGGGGCCGTACCAATCTCCTATGACGAGCTGAAAAACCGAGCGAACCAGCGGAGCGGCCGCCTTGAGATATCAGCTTCGGCCGGCTATAAGTAATTCAGAATTGTAATATTTTACTCATCTGCTTCCGGTGGAGTTCGAACACAGGTCTGCATTTCACCAATTCTTGGGTAGGTGCTCATCCCACAGGACTGTTTCGCAACAGTCCGCGGGTGTACCACCTGAGCTAGGCCCAGTAGCATCTGTCCCACGGGCCTGCTTTTCAACAGTTCGTGGGTGCACCACCTGAGCTCGGTCCACGGGTGCTGGTCACACAGACCTGTTTTTCAACAGCCTGCGAGTGTACCAGCTGAGCTTGGCCTACGGGTGCTGGTCCCACAGGCCTGTTTTTCAACAGCCTGCGAGTGTACCAG